CTTATTGAAAGCGCAAGAACATCAGCCGTTGTTAATCAGTTAAAAAGTTAGGTGCATGAAAATAGATTCGTCTATATTCTCGAATCCCTAACCATAGGAATGCTTGGCAACGAAACAATGTCTAGAAAAAAAAATTGGCGGAAGCAATAGCAAAAGAGCAGGCAAACAGTCGTTAAAATTGGGCGGCTCTGAAAAGAGCCTTTTGTTATGGTGGTGTGGTCGGGGGCCTCCTTCGGTTAATCAGAATGATTGCATTAGCTTTATTACGTTAGATAGGAAAGAGCTGAAGCAATTTTTTGCTAAATAACGTGCACAAAGCTAACTGCACGGCGTCAATTTGATTGCATTATTTATTTAAAGAAGGTAAACTACAATAATTATTCCCATCATTTCATGTCTATAATGTAAATTAATCGGCAAATTTAATCAGCGAAGGAACTTTCAATACGATTTCATATCGATGATTAAAATTATTTTTGTTGCTTATGAAATTTGTTGGTGACAGCTGAAGCACCTCGATTCAATTCATTAGCAGCATTATTGAAAGCGCAAGAACATCAGCCGTTGTTAATCAGTTAAAAAGTTAGGTGCATAAAAATAGATTCGTCTATATTCTCGAATCCCTAACCATAGGAATGCTTGGCAACGAAACAATGTCTAGAAAAAAAAATTGGCGGAAGCAATAGCAAAAGAGCAGGCAAACAGTCGTTAAAATTGGGCGGCTCTGATAAGAGCCTTTTGTTAAGGTGGTGTGGTCGGGGTACTTTTTTACTTGGCTTGACTAGCCTGACTGGCTCCTCCAGTAGAGGCGGAACCGCTTCCGCCGACCTTGGCAGTCTTCTTGGGCAAGAGGACGGCTTGGATGTTTGGAAGAACGCCACCCTGGGCGATGGTGACTCCGGCCAGGAGTTTGTTTAACTCTTCATCGTTTCTTATGGCCAACTGAAGATGGCGAGGGATGATACGAGTCTTTTTGTTGTCTCTGGCGGCGTTTCCGGCCAACTCCAAAACTTCGGCCGCCAAATACTCCATGACCGCTGCTAAGTATACGGGCGCTCCGGCTCCAACTCTCTCGGCGTAGTTGCCTTTGCGCAACAGCCTGTGTATTCTTCCTACCGGGAACTGCAATCCGGCTCTGCTCGATCTGCTCTTGGCCTTTCCTTTGACCTTGCCGCCCTTTCCTCTTCCAGACATTTTTCAATAATGTTGTTCAAAGCAAATTGGCAAAGGAAAGAATCTCTCTATATTATTGCAAACGATTCTTAATTTTCGACAAACACTATGTTTATATATCCCTCGACTGCATGCTAGTAACTCTCGGATAGTTATTTTAATATATCACGTGATGCAATACGCATTTACCACCAATCAATGAGCGGCAGCTTGTAAATGTATATTTGTACATTCATTTACTACATGTCGGCTGTAGGTCTGTAGGTTTTTAGGCATTGTGCAATTGTTCTACATACGTACACACACACACACACACACACACACACACACACACACACACACACACACACACACACACACACACACACACACACACGTTTGCCACGTGTATAGACGTTATATTACTTATTGTTTATGCATTAGTTTAAGTTAAATCTTTTTTTGACTTAGTTTTTCATTCAAATATTTATTAATTCGTCAAAATATCGACCGATTTTTATTTAGCATAACTCAAATAAAATTCAAAATTAGGCGCGCGCGGATCTATCACCTTTCTTTGTTCTTTCTCTACCCTCTCGCTCACAAGCACGCTCTCTCACAGGCAAACTATCTCGCTCGTAAATACGTTAGCAAACCACGTGATCTATTCACTCACCTAGCTCGCTCATATATATCGGTCTGCGAGGGTTAAACGCCATCACTGCGAATGCGTACTCGCCTCTCCTTTTTTTTATATTTTACTTATTCGTTCTTGAACAATGCCACCAAAGCCTGCCAGCAAGGGAGCTAAGAAGGCCGCCAGCAAGGCGAAAGCTGCTCGCAGCACGGACAAGAAGCACAAGAGAAGGCGAAAGGAAAGCTACTTTATATACATATACAAAGTGCTGAAGCAGGTTCACCCGGACACGGGCATCAGCGGCAAAGCCATGTCAATAATGAATTCGTTCGTCAATGACATCTTTGAACGAATCGCAGCCGAAGCTTCTCGCCTCGCCCACTACAACAAGAGATCCACAATCACCAGCAGAGAAATCCAGACGGCCGTCAGGCTTCTGTTGCCCGGCGAGTTGGCCAAGCACGCCGTCAGCGAAGGCACCAAGGCCGTCACCAAGTACACCAGCTCAAAGTAATCGACCACTGAAATAAAGACAAGACAAACGGCTCTTTTCAGAGCCACCCATTCTAACGATGATACGCTTGCCAGCTTAGCCAAACTATTTTTTTCATTCTTGAGTATATCTAAAAAACACGGGATGGCTGTGAGGAGTCCTTTTCAAAATATGGTATATAATTGTCAGTTTCATATAAATATATATATATACACACATATACTAACAAATACATACGGACAAGTACAGTCATATATTAAGACAAATAAGCCGCAATCTTACTAACAGATTGTCAGTGTTCATAAAAATATATACTTGCAAGATTAACACATGTACATGTCAAGTATAGCCAGTACAGTATGTACAGTATAGAAAATACTATATACATCGTAATCTTACTAAAAATGTTCAATTCATCTATATATAACAAACACAAACATTCTTATCTGAATTCATTGTCAAAATAAAGTAATTTTTTTAAATAATGTCTACAAATCATTAAACTTATTATGCAAAAACCAGGATAAACATACGGCATGTACGCACACAACACATGAATGCACATCTACATGTCATTACCAAAAATAACTGACAAAATTTGAACTTTCACAAAAAAACAATTTAATAATCACAATCACAGTTTATTAAAAACACTTTCAAATATTTCTTAAAATTTTCACATTAAAGATATCCACAGGAAAACCCATTTGTAAAACGTGGTTCCAGCTTCTTGGACCCCTGCATATGATATGGTCGTCTTTAAAAAATTTTTTCTTCTCTTTGCGTTTAAAGGAGAAAAAAGGCATTTTTTAATTTTTCGGTAATTCTGTTGTTGTACACGTGTTTCGTTAGTGCTTTTGTTTCATCAACTCTTTGAGTTCATTATTCATTTTAAATATATAATTAGTGTTCTTCATTTTTTTTTTATTTTGGAACGAATTCTTGAGTTCATGTGGTCATTTTGTCTCTACAAAATTTCCAACTACTCTCAGCATCTCCAAATAGAGCAGATGGAACATCCATTGATTGTGACAGGAACCCATGTGATTTTCCAAATCATAATGTCCGTCCGTCGCTGAAACTGTTCAATGGAGCGTTGCCCGTATAGTAATCTAGTGGTAACGGCTGAGGCATCTCGATTCATTAATATTGTGTAATTTTTTTACTATATGCAGTGCGCAAACAAACCCAATCTCAAAAAGATATTCAGTCGCTGTTATCGACAAAGTATTATTAGTTATTACAATTTGCATTTTGCGCCAGAAAATTTGATTTTAGTGAAAAAATAGCAATCGCAATAGCATCGGTAAATAAATGTGCGTTGTTTATAACGTAAAAGCTTACGCTTGTTGTGAGAGCAAATGTTGTAGAAGATTCACGGTTAGAGCCGACAACCGTTTTCTTGCACGTGACTGAAGAGCTCTCTACGAGGTGAGCGTCTTAGTTTCTCGTATATAAACGCCGTCGTTTTATTCAGTAGAAATAACAAACTGTCTGTCTTGTCGGTCGGTCGGTCGGTCGGTCGACTAGCTTCTTGTCTTTCTTTCTTTTTTTGTTGCAAAGGAAAATCGATCATGTCTGGAAGGGGAAAGGGTGGTAAAGGTCTGGGTAAAGGTGGAGCCAAGCGTCACCGCAAAGTTCTCAGAGACAACATCCAGGGCATCACAAAGCCCGCAATCCGCCGTCTGGCCAGAAGAGGCGGGGTCAAACGCATATCAGGTCTGATATACGAAGAGACCAGAGGCGTTCTCAAGGTGTTCCTTGAAAACGTCATTAGGGACGCCGTCACTTACACCGAGCACGCAAAGAGAAAAACCGTAACAGCCATGGACGTCGTGTACGCTCTCAAGAGACAGGGACGTACCCTCTACGGTTTCGGCGGT